AAATAATATTGATAATAATAATAATAATATTTATTGACATTTAGCTAAAGCTATCTATACATCAATCGTCTACAATATGTTCAGTTTACACATTTATTTACATTTAAAATCATTAATTAGTATTTATAATTTCTTTTGAAGTAATCTTAGCTTATTTACAATATTTATAACATCTCATACATTCAATTTATTCAATTAGATTTTATCAAAATATCCAAATAATAATCTAATCTCCTTTTTTAATAGAATTTTAAACACATTTATACGATCCTCATTTTTTGTTTCTTCAGATAATTTGTTGTACCATAGATACCCTTTGTATACAATAGTTTTTTCTGCTGTATGTGTACGCGTATGCAATATTTGTAACTCTGATTGTCCTCTAGTGTTATAGTTATTTTTACATATTTTAATTTCATCGCTTAAGTAAGTTGGACAGAGTTTATTTTTCATTTTATGTATAAGTAAACAGGTGTTATAGATTACTCTTTGTCTTACAGACATCCAGCCTAGGGTTTCTAACATCAGTGTTAGATTCGTATACTTGTTGACACATAATATTGCACGCATCGCTCGATTTTGTAGCTTTTGTAAAATGCTGAGTTTGTCGTCTGTATAATTAATCATTAACGTATTACAGTATTCATAATGTGGAAAAACTATTGTATTATAAATTAAACATTTAGCATAATTACCTACGGAGTATCTTAATCTATTGATTACATTAATTTTTTTGGCAATTTTTTGACTAGTATAATGTGCATTGCTTTTAAAATTCAAATTATCGTCGATCATTACTCCTAAATATTTCGTTTCTTTTACATACTTAATTTCTATATCATTTATAAATAATTTACATTTATTCCTTATATTTTTATGCCTTTGATCATGGATAGTCATATGTACAGTTTTATTTACATTTATTTTTAATTGATATTTGTTTAACCAGTTAAATAGTATTTGAAGGTTCATATTTAATTTTCTTTCAATTTCTTTTAAATTTTTACCACTCACCGCAATTCTCATATCATCAGCAAATAAAGCACAATCAATCCCCCTTCTACTTAATATTATTATAATTTCATTAATATAAAGTAAAAACAGCAAAGGACCTAATTTGGACCCTTGTGGTACTCCAAATTTAACTTCACTTTCCTCAGATATGTTATCCTGAAACTTCACTCTTTGCTTTCTTTTACTTAGATAAGATTTGAACCAACTCAGTACTGCACCACCTATTCCCAGCTCGTATAATAAATCTAAAAGTATTTCACGATTTACCGTTTCAAAGGCACGGGCAAGATCGATAAACACCACACCAATATATAGCCCTTTATCAAGATCTTTTCTCCATCTTATGATAGAGTATTGTAGAGCCGACTCACATGAATGGTTTTTTCTAAATCCTGATTGGGCAGGATTAATAATATTATTTTCATCGACAAATTTATTTAATTGCATTTTAACAATCTCTTCTAATATTTGCTCATATACTGGTAAGGTGTTTATCGGTCTAAGGTCTTCTATTCTATTACTTCCGACTACTTTTAGTATAGGAATTATGGTAGATACTTTCCATTTACACGGTACTAGTCCCAATTCGAGGGAATTTTTTAACATATACATTATAACGTCGCTTCTTGCTTCCCAAATAATTTTAACCAGTTTAGAATTAATATCATTTTTTGACCCTTTATTACTATCGAGATTTTTTATTATTTTTCCAACTGTTCTATCATCAATTTCGTCAAATACTTCCCACTTATTCGGCTGACAATTATATTTTTCCCCATTTAAGTTATTTATTTTACAACTACGAATTACTTGTATTATATTCTCTATACTACTAATAAAGTAATTATTCATACTATTTGATATCTGTTGACCATCCGTTATTATTTCATTGCCAACTTTAACTTCCCATACTTGTGTTTTATTAGATTTTTTTTCTCCTATTAATTTTTTTAATGTTTTCCACATATTTTTTGAATCTCCTTTATTTAAATCAATATTTGTTTCATAATATAATTTTTTACTTTTTCTCAACTCAGAGACTACTTGATTTCGTAACAACTTAAAGTAAGCAATATTTTGTGATGACTGAATTTTTTGCGCAGTTTTGTACGCGTTGTCTCTTAACTTAATTGTTTCAAGGATTTTTTTATTTATCCACGGTTTATTATCCCACTTACATTTAATTAATTTACGCTTATAAGGTGCCGCTTCACAATCCCCCTTCTACTTAATATTATTATAATTTCATTAATATAAAGTAAAAACAGCAAAGGACCTAATTTGGACCCTTGTGGTACTCCAAATTTAACTTCACTTTCCTCAGATATGTTATCCTGAAACTTCACTCTTTGCTTTCTTTTACTTAGATAAGATTTGAACCAACTCAGTACTGCACCACCTATTCCCAGCTCGTATAATAAATCTAAAAGTATTTCACGATTTACCGTTTCAAAGGCACGGGCAAGATCGATAAACACCACACCAATATATAGCCCTTTATCAAGATCTTTTCTCCATCTTATGATAGAGTATTGTAGAGCCGACTCACATGAATGGTTTTTTCTAAATCCTGATTGGGCAGGATTAATAATATTATTTTCATCGACAAATTTATTTAATTGCATTTTAACAATCTCTTCTAATATTTGCTCATATACTGGTAAGGTGTTTATCGGTCTAAGGTCTTCTATTCTATTACTTCCGACTACTTTTAGTATAGGAATTATGGTAGATACTTTCCATTTACACGGTACTAGTCCCAATTCGAGGGAATTTTTTAACATATACATTATAACGTCGCTTCTTGCTTCCCAAATAATTTTAACCAGTTTAGAATTAATATCATTTTTTGACCCTTTATTACTATCGAGATTTTTTATTATTTTTCCAACTGTTCTATCATCAATTTCGTCAAATACTTCCCACTTATTCGGCTGACAATTATATTTTTCCCCATTTAAGTTATTTATTTTACAACTACGAATTACTTGTATTATATTCTCTATACTACTAATAAAGTAATTATTCATACTATTTGATATCTGTTGACCATCCGTTATTATTTCATTGCCAACTTTAACTTCCCATACTTGTGTTTTATTAGATTTTTTTTCTCCTATTAATTTTTTTAATGTTTTCCACATATTTTTTGAATCTCCTTTATTTAAATCAATATTTGTTTCATAATATAATTTTTTACTTTTTCTCAACTCAGAGACTACTTGATTTCGTAACAACTTAAAGTAAGCAATATTTTGTGATGACTGAATTTTTTGCGCAGTTTTGTACGCGTTGTCTCTTAACTTAATTGTTTCAAGGATTTTTTTATTTATCCACGGTTTATTATCCCACTTACATTTAATTAATTTACGCTTATAAGGTGCCGCTTCATCCAAAACATCTACAATATAGCTACTAATTTTTCCAATAACAATATTAAAATCATTTTCAGTCCTAATTTGAATATCAAAAATATCCCTATTTATTTGAACATTAGTAAATTTATCTATTAATTTGTCTTTGAAAATTTCGTCATTAAATTTAGTATAGTCACGCTGGTACACAACCGTAGAGTGTTGTATATCATGCATCCTTTCAATCTCAATGTCAATAATATAATGATCCGAGATTTTAGGAGTTGTCATAACTTTAGATTTAATTTTAAAATTAGTAAAAACTAAGTCAATAATCGTATCCGAAATAAATGTCGAACGTGTTGGTGTATATATATTTTGTTTTAAGCCAATATATGACATACCCTTTATCAATCTTTTCGCATAGAAGTCATTTCTTAAAGTATCTATATTAAAGTCCCCTAATATCATTATCTTTCCTAAATCAATCAGATTATCAGCTAGCTCAAGGATAACATCACAAAAATTATTTACACTGCTACTAGGTGATCTGTACAAATTACATATAAACAATTTTTCGTCTTCATTATGAATTTGAATACAATTTATCCACAGTCCACTATTATAATTATCAAGTATAACCTTATATTTAATAGTTTTAAGAATATAGGT